GGGTCGTACGGGTCATCCACGAGTCTATCGTTGAACGCCTCATCGTCGGCCATATAGTCCTGCACCTCTGCAGGATCTTCAACTCCTTCCGGATCTTCTACAGGCTCCGAGTCCTGTAGGTCCCGCTCGTCAGACTCAACCGCTATGTTGTACATGCGCGGTTTGGGCTTATTGTGATTTGGGCAATCACGTTGATACCCTACTTTCCCGCATTTATAACAACGCGGTTTCCCATCCTTATCCAAGGATGGCGTCGATTTCGCTGCTGTAGACAACGTCGACTTCTCTGTTTTTGGAGCCGGCGAATAGCTCGCACGGAAGGTCGAGTGTTGTCCGCTCTTCAGAGTTGACGTGTTCCCCCTGAATGTGTTTTTGTACACTTTCTTGGTGGACGAGGAGTCAGCAGCCTTTTTGGGTGCTGCTGCAGCATTGGTATTATGTTTTTGCATCGATTTCGATGCGGTTGGCACCTGCAAGTCATTACGATATGCAGAGATCACCTTAATAGAATCGTACGTGTGGTCCAGGCAGAGCACGGCGGTCCACAACTCGTCTTTTGTTGTGTAGTCCACGGAAATTTCGTGGTGCATAACCATCTCCCAACGCATTTCGCCAGGGATGGCGTTCAGGAAACGTTCATTGAACGTTGCCTGGTCAGGAGGCGTGATCATCTCCTTAGCTGCACGATACAGCTGGTTATAGAAGTGTTTGATTCCCTTCGTGGAATCGTATGAAAGCGTTTTGAACGCTTTCGTGGATGCTACTGCTGCAGACTTCTTGATGAAGGTGTAGATAAGGATCTCTAGTAGATCCCAGAATGGGGGAGTTACCCCGTTCTGCACTCCAATGCGTATATAGTGCATCAGGAGGTCTTGCACCTCGCCTTCAACAGCGGTTGTCAAAGTGTGGACGTGGAACTCGTTATAAGCTTCACCCTTCCACCCACACGACGACATATAGGCTAGCCATGAGTGCAGCCAGTTGTGGAATATTTTCGAGTTATTCTCTCCAGACCATTTGATGGTCGGAGTCAGTCCCTGCATCTTTTTGAGCAGTTCTGGGCGTACATCTGCAGGCAGTGGCTGCAGGATTCGAACCTCCACACTTCGGCATGCAGACTCAAGAAGCTGAGTCATGAACTCAGATGGATCAGGCACTACTCGTGCCGCAGGTGCTGCGTATGAATGCATGGTTGAGTCAAACAAACCGGGTCATACAGACGAGCGGTTTGGAAAGTTGGATGAAGGCTCCCGTTTTGCTTCGGTGCCAAATGGGGCAGGAAATGGTGGGTTGGGCCAGGACGAGCCACCCTTGCCACCATCCTCATCATCACCATCCCCACTTGGACGGCGGGGCCTTCTTCCCGAGTTAGACCTAACTTGGTCTACACGCCTCTTGCTCCCTTCTGGAGCTGCAGGCGGTTGTGAGAATCGGTGGTAGTTATCCAGCACCCGTCTGAGTGCTGTGCCGTGGGACAGTCTTTCAGGGTCTTCACCGTTTGCCCCACGACCCACGTTGTATACGAATGCTGCGTCTGCATCCAGACAGGCGTTAAAGTCGAAAGTAGATTCGCTGAGACTACGCTTAGCAAAGATAGGTCTGACCTTGGTGGGCTGTCCGCCAATGTCATCTACACAATCCTGGACGTAGATCAGGCATTTTTTCCATGTGTAATAATCGTACGGAACACTGGTGACTTCTGCGTCACCATCTTCCTCCTGTATCGTCTCCACAGTGGCCTTCATCGGCACTGCTTTCTTTCTCCCGTGGTCGGGAGGGAAATTACGCATTTGAGTAGCATCAACGCATGGTATTTTCACCCCACCGTTCGTGGGTTGGGACGACAGAATGAACGGCACGGGCACAAAGCCTGGTCTGAGATGGAATGGAGAAGTTCCACTCTCCCCCGCAGTCGACGATCCAGCCAGTTGTCCTGGGTTGATCTCCCTACCTTTTCCCTTGGTGTCAGTGGTTACTGGCGCCGTCGGCAGGGTAGGTGGCTTAGTTCCACTAAAGATGGGAACAAAACGTCCATCAGATTCTTGTACCTCGATGGACAGGCGTGAACTTGTCGCCTCTGTGTTACAGGAATGGGTTCCGGGGAACCCAACCTGAGCCGTTCGGCTCACTAATGGAGGTGGCTGCGTAGCCATCGGAGGGAGAACGGAATGGGATGAGTGTCTGGCAGTGTAACCTGTGTGTCGGCCAACGGTAACTTGGCGCTCCTGGGAGCGTACCGGTAGCGAGTATGATGTGGGCTCCTTGAGGGAGCCACCTGGCTGTCTGCTAACGGGGACTTGGCGCTCCTGGGAGCATGCCGGTAGCGGGTGTGCTGGGAGTGTGTGGCTAGCAGTGACTTGGCGCTCAATGGAGCGTACCGGTAGTGAGGGATACTGGGACTCCCAAAGGGAGTCACCCAGTTGGTGGCTATCGGTGACTTGGCGCTCATGGGAGCGTACCGGTAGCGGGAGTTGTTGGGGAAAGCGGGCTGGCGGACCAGTGCACGGTAGTGGGTGACCGTGGGAAGTGGGACCTGCGGGTGCGTGGCCAGGCATCCTGGAGCTGCCTGGACCATATCCTTCTCCTGAGGAGGTGGGATAGGTTACAGTTCCTGATAGGGAACTTCTGGTTGGATGGGAGTAACCACTCGACCACCCGGTGGACTGGTGGGAGTGGGCAGCAGGAGGTTGGGCGTGGGAATGCCCACCTCGTTGCGGTTTTGTCATGGAGAGGAGGAATAGGGAGGTGGACATGGTTCCAGGGTTACAGGTTGAGTTTACAGTGGTGGCACAATGGTGAGGATGTTACAATTGCGGTACAAGGTTTTAGGGTTATGTATTCGATAATGAGAACAGTTCCGGCATCTGCCTTATACATCATATGACTTCTAACTATCTAATATAAAAATCATAATGGTCAAAGAAAGTCCCTTGAAACTCAACAAATCCCCCAGCCAGCACCAAAACCCAGTGGGAAAGCTTGGCATGGGGTTTGACAAAGAAATAAAGTTGAAGGGGCTAAGGTTTGATTGTCTATAGTCACGGACCATAAGATTCTAGGTCCATTCCCATAACACTCTGTGATGATGGCAGAGACAGTGGGGATCCCTCCAGGTATGGGGACCCCACTGATTGGTTGACCCGTTGGATTAACGGGGACTACAGGGACCTCCTGGGGTGCTTGCACCTCCACAGCGGGTTTAGTGATTGGTTGACCCGTTTGATTAACGGGGACTACAGGGACCTCTTGGGGCGCCTGCGCCTCAACAGCGGTTTTTTTTGTCTGGTCAGAGACGACGACAGGGTCTCCACCCATTGTTGGGTTCACTGGAGGGTTTGCAGGTGGGTTATCCACCGTTGCTGCGGGTGGCTTTGGCTCATCGCGTCGAGAGAGCACGAGGAGAATTTCGTTTAGTTTCTCATTAAGTCTTTCCTCCACCTTAATGATGTTACGATCTAGACGAGCGATGTTATCGCTATTCTCAGAGATTTGGGTATTCATGTTATGGACATCGCCTCTCAAGTCAGCGATGTCGTCGTCGACTTGGTCGACGCGATTTCTTAGTACTCGCGCCGTTTCAGATGCGAGGGAGTGGGTTGGGGATGGAGGACGCGACGCGCGCATTGGGACGAATGCCGCAAGGGTCTCCACTGCGAGGGCTTCAGACGTTGTGACCTCGTCAACGTCTCTCATATAGGTGGGACGCGTCTGAGACGCGTCCCTGGGCCCTTGCAGGCCCAGATCACCACCATCACTTGAGGTGGTGTCGTCTTCCACCCTACAGCCAGTGGAGGGGCCGACCGTGTTGGCAGGAGCGTTGGACGTGCTCCTGGTGTTGTACCTCCACGACATCCAGAAGAGGTGTCGAGTCGTTCAACAAGTTCGTGTGAGAACTTGATCGAAGTCGCGTGTTGTCAGGGGCTGACGATGCGCGCGTTGCCAAATGGGGTTTCGGTGCCGGTAACGCGGTGCCGAGAATGGAAAGAGAATAAGAGTGAAAGGTATCTTACTAGTTTGGGGACGGTAATGTTCTGTTCCCCCGTTCGCCTCAGGCCTCAGAAGTCCGTCTAAGTATACGCTTGATTTGGCTGTATATTAACGGGGTAGAAGTAAAGGCTGATCCGCCTTTTACAGCTACCCCGAGGGTTTATATACAATCTTATACATTCTCGGCACAAATAAATAGAGAAGCTTCCGCGACGCTAAATTAGCGTCGCGACATAATTATTACACAACACAACATCAACTGATGTTGTGGGCGGAATATAGACATGGGCCGGGGCCTCACACTTCGGCATGCACAGAGGAAGATGGAGGTCAAAGGTTCTGTGCTCAAGTGAAGTGAATGATGGCCACAAAGGATAACCATCGGCACTTGTGCTTACTTTGGAATGCCTCGACAACACTGATCTTTTTGCAATCCTTAACAGATGGTGTGTGGATTTCTTTGAACATTGCGTGAACAAGATGGCAAGTTGCTGGGTAACGATCGAGAAGTAGAAAGAATGCCGGGGGAAGATAAGAGTATAACTGAGAATGGATAATAATGGGAGGACCCTGGGTTATCCCGAATTGGCAATAATAGAGGACCTTGTCATCAAACGCATTCAATCAAGGTCGAAAATTCTACAAGACCTGCTACAGAGTAGCGGGAATTTCCGCTGCATGACTTGTATGATGCATAGATGTCTGACAGAAAGCCAATCACATAAATGGATTGGACCATATGAACCGTTCCTATAATCCACAACCTGGGATCCGGTTGAGGTGATTGCAAAACGAGCCTAACCAGTGAACTCAGACCAACCATCCCAACCAACCAAAGATTTCTGAAAAATCCCGTGGATTCCGGTTGATTGAGATCGAGGGACCTGGTTGGCGTGATCCCAGAGCGATTGACATTCAGATGATCTCAACCGGCAGGATCAACCTCGGAGGTTTCCTGATGAGTGCGCGTACAGTATATCGCGAAAGCTACTGCTAAAAAAAAACAAAACCATGTCCTCATTACTGTCTGTGCTTATCGGTTTCGGAAAGCAGTTCAACTAATTATTTACAATATTTATACACTTCTCTGATCCGAGACTGAGCATACACGACATAGCCCTTAACTTGAAGAGTTGGTCGCTCCCCAGACCCAACCTTCGCACACGTATGAGGGGCACCGGCGCACTTCGAAGTAAATCGCCGCCCAAGGTGTGACACATGTCGCAAAATGCGCAAACCAGACACCTGAAGGTCCTGAATAAACTGGGTGGCACTCTCCGCTTGTTCCATTATCGTCGAACCACCTGTCAAGCCGATAGGAAATCGTAACGGAAACATTGCAAATTACAGCGCTCAGGGGTGAACCGAGGGGGATGTCCGTCACGGGGAACCCGCCCACCTGGTCATTTGCCTCCAGGCAACCAGCTGTTAGGAAAAATATTCATTAAACTGGAGAAGATTTCATTTCTGACTTCGGTTCACCATTCTGCGCTGGGAGGATAACCCAATGCAATGAAGCGTGGCCGGATGATGCAGCAAGGCCCATTATTTTACTTGAGTAAGCAGCTAGTCCAAAGTGGAGCTCAGCCATGACAATCGGAAGTAGAGTGATTAGAACCAAGGTATTCCAGAATCGCATTGTGAAGGTCGGCCGACTGCTACAGGTAATGTCTGTTGCGTGAATAGATATATCAGCCACATGAATCAAGAAGTTCTAACCTCGATCTCGAGCGAAACGCCTAGAGGACTAAGGAGAAACAGGGGGGGCATCCTTCAGAGGCTTTATAGGAGATTCCGCTATCTTCTCAGTCTTTGAAGAGTGAAAAACAATCCTCCGAACTGTTCTTGTTCACTGCCACATCATTAATATTGCCGAAATACCTGCCAGTTAGGACATGTACATAGTGGCCCCACATGTGGAGGTGCTTATAATAGGCCCAATACATTCTTGGCTCCTGTACATCGGTACCCAGGAATAAGGTGTTTTTAACGAAATTTCCTGCTAGATTTCGGGGCGCGCAATCATTATACAACATTGCTCAATTCCGGCAGGAAAATCGTTCCTAATGTAGCGTGCATGTGGTTAGAATCCGGACGCAGGCCCTTGGCAGAGCGGCCATTGATGCATCCTAAATCCTACTCAGCAGTACGGAGAGTAGCAGGGTAAGCAGTTGTCTAGCAGTTATCAGGGTGGGATTTAAAATGGGGAGCATCGCAGAGGGGAGTGATCGAACTCTCCCATGCGGACTGTATCCGGTTAGATGATGGCAAATGTACGTCGCTTACGGTCGCAAACACGCAGGACCGAGCACATGTGTCTTCATTTCTTATTTAACTGCAATAATCATACCTGTTTGCAATATATCTCGATAATTATTTTTCGCTCTTCCAAGATTGAGTACCGGAATCTCGTATAAAGCCTGTTGAAGAATGGTTCCCCCGGTTTTCTCCTCAGCCCTCTAGGTGTTCTACTCGAGACCGAGGTTCGAACTTCTTGGCCAACATACTTATCACGCCACATACATTACCTGTATAAGTAGCAGTTGGCCGACCTTCACAATGCGATTCTGGAATGCCTTAGTTCTCATCACCCTACTTCCGATTGCCATAGTGGCTGATTTCCACCTTGGAATAGGCGCTTGGACAGAGCACATAGGCAGCTTTACCGGTGCCGGCAAGGCTTCACTGCATTGGGTTTTCCTCCCATCGGACCATGGTAAACCGGAGCCGGGAATGAACATTTCTCGGGTTTAACAAATGTGTTTCCCCAACAGATGGTTGCCGCCAGGCAAATCACCTGGGCTCTGACTTCCCCATGGTCAGCCTCGGGTCACCACTGATCGTTACGCTTTGCGGTGTGGTGATCACAGTTCCCGATGAACTTGGCCACTGGAACTCCTCGGACGGAGAAAGTGGATATTGTTACCCAACTGCAGATGGCATCAGTACGCATTTTATGACGTGCGGACAATCTACGATGGCTATTTACTTCGATTGTCGCTGGTGTGCGGGATCCGTGTGCAAAGGCAATTGACCAAGAAAACTTCATCGCTCCAACCTGACACTTGGTTATGTAAGTCAAAAAAATGTTGTAAAAATACGCTTGAAATGACCATTACCATTTCCAACAGACTTCCGGATTTGACCAGACTCGTACTCAATCGTCATTGCTCGTGGACGCGCGACACACAACGTCTAAGCACTTTTTGTATTATAAATGTGGAGTCACGTTCTATTTCCAATATAAATAAAAAGGCCATATGCTACACGGAGGTAAAGTCTAAATCCGACCGCCTACTACGAAAAAATGCAACGAGACCACAGTCAGCCTCTCTCAGAAAAGAAGTCAATTACTTGCTTTAAAATTTTTTGATGTCCCTAATTATACATAGAAGAAAGTCACCACTGCATCGCATATGCGTATGGAAATGCCAAAAAAATTGCCAACCGAACCCACACATTCAAATGGATACCAAAACGTGACTCTGGGCCAATATATAAAGTTTTAACCCCAATGCACGCTTGGGCTTCGACTTGATAGCAAAGTAACTGGGCTAGATATTATCAGTCTACAAGTGTCCTAACTACATTCCCACCGAGTAACTTCTTGAGAGAGGATCGCGTCGAATTCGGCAAATGCCTAACTGTACTGTACTGGCATGACCAACAACCTGTAACGCGTAACGCCGAACCCTCCCGGTCGGCACTTTTTTGAAATTTGTAACGCGTAACGCAGGTCCAATGTCCAGGTGTCACGCACTTCGAGCAAAATAAATGGTTGTACAAATTTTCAATTCAAATCTCCCAAATTTGGCAACTACACTGTCAAAAGCGGTACCTCGCCATTTCCTTCTCCAGATTTCTCACCCGTTTAGCGCGTCTACCCCGTCCCAACTCACCACTATCCACTTCAGACCCCGCAGCGATTTCTCCAATGGATTCCGCATCAGCCTCTTCAGCACCAATCCAATCCAACTGAAGGCCACCATTCACGTCGGCAAGGCCATCAGGCAGAGTCCCACTGAAAATCCGTCACCCAAACATACCCAGAGTGTTTTGTGTCACGCAGTCCTGGCCTCGGCCGGTCGGTTGTCACGCACCACTCAGGCTTGCCGGTTGGATGTCCGGTGTCACGCTCCAACCCTAGCCGGTTGTTGGTCGTGCCAGCACAATACTCCCACTGCCAGTGTGTAAATTCAGTATCGGAATGGCTACACATTCTAGCGAATTAAGTTGATGATCCGGCAGTGTCCCTTTGGACCCCCAGCGTCTTTGATGAGGCTTCGAGCTTGCACTCCTCTGGAGGTGCTCAATGACTGATACATGACGAATTTGAGTCGTCGCGAAACACTCTTATAGCTTATTCTCCTCCGATTTCTGTATCGTCTCTCGATCTTGCGATCTGGTGTCAAGAGCCAAGTTTTTAGATAGCTGCTCAGTTCTCCACGCACCAACCAGATAAGTGCTCATAGATCAACAATCGTTTGCTCTCCTCTCCCCGTTCCCGTTCTGGTATCCGGATAGTCTCTTTCCACTCCTCCGCTGACTCGTACTTGCGCTCCGAACGGGCGGCTCAGCGATTTATCATCCCCACTTCCTCCTGAGCTCATACTCGGACCGCCTCTCGATACGCCACGACCTGTGCCCTCTCAATCATCGCAGTGTGGAATACTCTTCGTCAGTGCTCGTCCACTAGAATCTTTCCACTTTAAACCCCAACGCTGACAACGCCGTACGACGCACTCCGAGTCATATATGGTTTGATTGGGACGTGATGAACGGTCTTGACGTCCCCTACTTGGCATGTCACCAGAACAAAAGAACTACAATTCCAAAGTGATACATTTCAAATCGTCCATCCAACAACCTCGAACCCATCATGACTGCATCCCTTCTTCTCCTCTCCTTCCCACCCATACTCGTCAGGATGTCTCGAGGCCAACACCTCCACTGTCATATCAACGAACACGAACCCAACTATTCCCTCCCCCACCCTTATTAACCCTCTCCAACAATTCAAATCCTACTTCGATACCCGGTCGGCAGAGCGGCTGCTAGAGCAGGGATGACTGTGGCCAGGGCGGGTAGTCTCGTCTTTGGACGACTGACTCAATACGATGTGCAGCTACTGTGTGGACCATCGATAGAGAGGAGGCGACCGTTGCGATGGGACCAGAGCTATCGTTGGGCGTAGCAATAAGGGTATTGATAACGTGTGCGTCTAAAAAGGGGCACACTGTTCGAATAGTCGTGCAACCCTTGCCTGCGCCCACTTTTACGTTCTGGGGGGATACCCTCCGGCAATGTGGAAGATGGATTGGACGGCGAGGAGAGAGAAGAATGTTGGTTTTGGGAACAGAAACAAAAATAAGCAGAGAGAGGTCCTCTAGAAAGGGGAGGGGATATTGGCAGCGCTAGCCACCAAAGTTCCCCTCGGTAGCATTCGCGATGCACGGTCGGGCAGGAGTAGCGTCGATTCGTACACGACCAATTCGATAATGGTCATCGCGATCATACAATTCAAATGGCTCACCTACGTTCCGCCCCCCCCTCCGTCTCTACCATTTATGGGCCACTAGCGACTTTAAAAATCCAACAAGAACGACAAGACGCGACGAAAACAACGAGAATGAGAACACCAACGCCGAATAACGCTCAATCCCGCGCCCGTTCTGGTTCAACAAGGTCCCAATTGGCCAGTGGCTTACGCACTCCTCCACTACCGCCACGCTCTCAAGTTGACATCTCCTTCTTTCACCCACATACCAGGGCACCACAACATAACAAAAGCACCAGCAACAACAATGGCACGGGTACTCTATCACACAACAACCACCACTATCACGATCCTAATCCAGGCTTCACGCCCGTGTTCGTGACGACATGCACTTGCCATCGAATTCGGCGTCCCATCCTCATCCACCACCCTAAACTCGTGATGTCAACGGCGCACTGGGCAGATGTTGAGACTAAGGCCGAACTTACGCTGGACACTCATTTGCGCTTGCAGAGGAGGCGCGCCCCACGGATGGGTAGTGCACCGCGAATCGCACTGAGTGCAACTGAGGAAAGAAGAAGAGGACATGATTCAACCTTAGGCCTCAAGACGTCCACCCTATCCCCAACCACCTTTCACGAACACACCTCTCAATTTTATTCTCCACGTGAGAACACACCTTTTTTTTCGAGTGCTTGCAGCAACAACCCCCGCGGAGTTTTCGTTCTGAGGCGAGCGAAGCAGAGTAGTATTCCCTTGCGAAAGGTCGGACGAGACACAACCAGTAGCCAAAATCATTGTAACCTTAGATCGTCAGTGCTTAATACTTTCGCCGACATGCTGGCATTCTGCATTACTCGATCGTGCACTCTGTGTTCATTCGAAACCGTTTACCTTCCAGTCTTTGGTGTACAAGTCACATGAATAAGGTGCCCATCTAACTAATAAATCCTCTTTTCCACTGAGAAGTATCCAAATTCAGACCTAAATTGTGGCTCATAGACCTATTGATTTACATGTGGGGTGGTACAAGCGGTTCGGGGTACATGACACCGCGGTCTTTTGAAATCTTTTCCGTTACATCGGTTCCAAGAAGGATGATCTGATCGCTCAAGGGAATGATTCCGGGAATCGCCCCTGCAACTCTGCATAGGTATCCACGGACGTCTCTTTGATATCTCGATAATTGATTCCCAAGATTTTCTTCGACTTCGCGTTGTTCGCTATAGCCGCATGTGGAACCGAAGTGTCCTCCCATGGCTCACGAAGAGGGATGTTATATCCGGCCGCAACCAGTGCGTCGACTGGTGGGTGGAGAGAATTTTTTCAATATCAAACCTTCCATATGAGCAACAATAAGTGAAAGCAATAACTTACTCGCTTGCTGGTAGAAGAAAGGCGCGCTGGATGTAATAATGCGTTCCCCACCTGCCTCTGGCACCTCTAGGGCTAAAACATGCGCAAGAGCGACATCTCGGACGTCCACGAAATTGTTAGAAAAGGCGCCCAGGGGAGCGCCTTTGAACACGCTGTAACGGAACAGCGCGATAGTAGCATTCAAGGCAGATACGTCCTTGACCTTTGAATCGAATTAACCAGGAAAAGGCATCGGGTAAACACCATAAGGGTTTTTTCTCACCTCGTGTAGGATCGGCTACAAGTGAATATAGATATAGGAGTAGATCAACGCCAGAGAACGTCGATATGCACCGCCACCAACTTACCCCAAAGACCTGATGCAGCAAAACCCCAAGTTAACTCCAGCCGATGATTTATAGAAACGAAAAGCATACCACACTAGGCAAGATAGTAGTCAGATCAAAGTGCAAGCCCTTATTTTCGTCGATGAACTTCCAGGCAGCTTGTTCGGCCTTGGTCTTGCTTGCTCGATACGTGTGCCCTGCTGGTGCATTCGTTCCCTCTCGCTCAACGATTTTCTCGGACTCCGAGTTCCAGTCGTCCTGTTGAAGCAAAACCCTCAGTATCGCTAACATGAATCTTTGGTCGTCGTGCTTACCTCCGTGAAGGTGTATGAGGGGACATCCTTGGATTCCAATATAGATGCTATAGATGATGTAATCACTATTCGCTTGACGTTGTGCCTGATCTCCATTTGATTAGAAGTGCGCCCTAAAGACAAGTTACTCCGTACCCAAATTGCCGAGCACTTTGAAGAATCCCAAGAGTCCCCTCTACAGCCAGCCTAATGATAGATTGAGGATCACCGGAGACATTGATGGGTGTCGCAGTGTGGATGATGGCATCGGGGTTTGTGGACTTGACGGCTTCGTCGAATGCATTCCCCTGTAACACCATCATTTTTCACTGTTTGTTGGGCCCTAAATGAGCGAACTTGAACCAACGCACTTCAAGATTTTCAACGATAACGAAATCAAATTTATCTCCGAACTTCTTCTTTAGAAAATCCCCCTTCGGCGCTGACCTCACCGTTCCGATGACGTTGTAGCCTCGATTGATGAGGACGAAGACGATCCATGTCGCAATAAAGCCATTTGCAGCAGTTACTAGGACCTTTGCTGGGGACGCGAGGGAAGGCATAGTTCCAGACACAGAGCACAAAAGGTAGTAGTAGTGGATGAGGTTAGTGGGGAGTCGATGGCGAGCACAATCGTCATCTTATATACCGAGTTGGAGCTTATCGGGTCGTGAATGAATGGGAACCGGCTATTAGTCATCCTCCACACAAATCCAGGAAGACTTGAGTAAGCCTTCTGATAATACGTTCGTCTTCGCACCCGGGTCCGGGGAAGACCATACCCACTGTTCAAGATGAGTGCGCACTTTCCTAAACCGCAATAGGTCTAAGAAATCGTGCCCCCCCACAGTTTGCAGCGGTCCCATGACCGGAACCCGTATGCTCACGATGTCTAGGGTAGTGCCGCCGTCATTATTCACGGACGATCGATCACTCCGAAGCCAGGGAATTACACTTGCAGGTTTACAGCACATTGTGAACATATCATTAAGTGAGCGGCAACTGGGGAGAGAGAGGATTTTATGGCCACGAAGAAGCGCGATACATAGCAACGCCAATGAATTAAAAAACGAGCTTCAGAACACATGAGAGCCCCGTAGCAACGGTGTCGGATACACAGGTGGATTCGATGCTTCCCCCGATTCGATTTCTGGAGTGGCTCCAGCAGAGACCATCCTCCTTGACCACACGGAAATGATATAATGTGCATTGGGAACCGTATGCACCTTGCTTAAGCGGCTTCCCGTTAAAGAGAGGCTGGTCACCTGCCTACTACAGCAGAAGAATCTTGTGGCACCAAGAAGGCATCGAGAAAAGATGAGTCTCCCTTTTTTTGTTTGAACTATGGCCCGATACGGCGCAACGGGAGCGGGAAAGGCTGCGGGTACGAATTTTGAACAAATGGACGTTGACCTCGGTCAACATTTGACGCCGGAGCGTGGGAACCAATTGGACATCAATCATGTCTTCATCCAACAGCCGTGAAGCCCAATTCGAGCACATCGTTTCAGCGCTCAGAAACAGTTTGGGAGCCGCCTCTGGACGGGTGCGGCGTGTTTTTTTGGATGCTATTCGCAAAACGGCGGTAGAATTCCAGTTCGTTGCGATTGGTTTAAGGTACTTACCCGTTGAAACTTAAGACCGTCGCTTGCGCTTGATTTCGTGTCTGGCTCGATCCCCTCACTCATATGCTTCTCGCTCCCCGGAAAAGACAGGCATGCCTAGTGGACTCCCTTTCGGCTGATAGGCTCATTCTTGATGATGTGGTGGGACAGCTTCGGAAAGTACGATTTGATCATTACATGTATCCCTTGTGTGCGGACCCTCCTCTCTTCCTTTCAGTAGATTTCGAGCGGATTTGAAGGTACCTTTGTGCTTCAAGAACCATCTTCTTCGCAAGTGTTTCTCGTGAACGCCAACATTTTACTGGCCGGGTTAAGGAACGGTCGTCCCACTGAAACACACTTCATCACTGCATCTGACGTACCGAAGCGCATCCCTTGCCCCAGAGGGGTCAGGAGCGCACTATCTTCTCTAGAAGAGCGCTTTCGGGACATGGCAGCTAGTGATTGCATCATTGGCGTGGATCTTCCACCAATGTCAACGTCAGACGCGATCGCACTCGCCGGTTATCTTCTGGAGTATCCGGTATCTTACGCGCCTGTACTCGACACGGCTCAATCCCAAGTCTTCTTATCAAACGTACCTTTGAAATTGGTAAACGTTTCACTAGAATTGGCAGGTAGACGGTTAGTTTTTGCAGGATTTCTATGCCATTCCAACCCTGTTCAATTCCTCGCACAGGGAATCGGCTACCATCATACAGTTCTCTTTCCCCAGTTCTCTTGCCAATGTGATGGCTTTAGGTGATGATCAGATTGCATCACATTGCCGTGCGCTATTCGAGAGTCGCCTACAAAACCCTTCCGCTCTGTGGCTTCGCAAGGCTCTCATCAATATTAATATCGATACGATTTCTCTTGATAGGCTTGCCCTGTAGATATATTCCCCTGTTGTGTATATGTTCACTCTCAAGCACTACGCATGTGCACTGGCAGACCAACGCCAATATTACGGTACAGCCCCCAAATTAATATACGAGAACCTCGCCCCCGTGCACGCTCGGGTCACACCCTTTCACAGCCTTCTGGTATATGTCGGATGATACTTGGAACTGACACCAAAAAATGCATTGAGCAGTTGTGCAGCTGCGCTCGACTCTCTGCGGCATGAAAGTCATGATCATAATGAATGCATGAATATAACATTGAGCAAAACGTGGGTATTCTTTTGGCATAATGATAATAGCCGGCTGATTAGAATACCTTTCCCCTCAGGTTCTTGAAACAGGGTTTATGCGGTAACAACATCACCCATCGGTATATCATCACTTGAAACCACTGCTAATGAGACACAGCATCAGAAAGTTTAACCACACAGCAGGAATTGGGCTGCCCACCGTAACGCTCATTGGTATATTGGACGCCGGGAGCATCGCCGCTCAAATGTGGTGGACTTGGTCCGATCCGCAGGCTCTGAATGCGGTAAGCAACAATGACATTTAGGACATCGCAACTCCCACCTGTGGAGGAATGAAGATAGACTCATTATTGATCGCTTCACCCTTTTTCGGGCGGAGGCACGACCGCATGCGAATTCGTGCATTTAAGCTGAAAAGTTCAAGTGAATAGATGCTCGACAACCGAGGTTGACAACTCAACTTTGCAAGGAGAGTGAAGGTGTACACCCCTCCTAAAGACTATACAACGGCAGCTAAAACAATGCATTCCAACCGGTAGTAGAACATGGTATCCTTACTGTATTGAAGAGGACGTAAATAAAATGGACCGATCTCGTGTAAGACAGAAACTGGAAGGCCAATTAGCAAGGAACTGTCTCATCCGTGAGCCTCGCTCACGATAATTTCCATTACGATGGCCATGATGCTAACAAAGGAGATCATTGAATTCAGGTGCGAAGAGGAAACTGAGGGAGTGGTAGTTACCATGGTACTAAGCCGGTGTTCACGGCGTATATTCCCATCAAGGTGAGAACCCGATCCGTTCTAAAGTTGGAGTCAGACTGAAATACGAAGTCAGGTCCACAATTTCCTACGTGCCGTCGAAACCCAGTGCGACTACGCCATAGCAGCGCCACCATACTCCCTGCCACCAGTATGTCAGTTACCGCCTAACATGATGGCATCAGCAGTGAGTACGAAACTGCATCGACCTGAATTTCAACTTACTTGGGACGTACACCATCCAATAATGTCATCACGACGCCCATGCACCAGAACAACATTTTGGATTCTTGCCCTAACGAGGTATCGGGGCATCATCTTAGATAGCTTAGCGATATATACCTAACTTACGATGACACTGCAACATCTAATCGCCGAGCTGTTTCCTCAGCGCTCACGACCAGAGAAGTCAAATTGATTTTGGTTTACCTAAGCCACAGCCTTGAACGTTAGGCCAGAATGTCAGTTCGCAGAACAGCCGCTCCCAACCCGTAAGAACGCACCTAACGTGGTTAATGCTGTCATTAGCTGTTACAGAGAGTTGGTAAGTATGCCTGAAAGCACATATTTGACACAGAAACGTACAATTACCAGGGGCAGCCAAGGGGGTCTGGTCACTACAGAAGATTAATCAATCCACGAAGTAACGAGGTCGAGACAGCACATGCTTTTTCTGATTCGCCCGATGAAGAAGAAATGAACTAAGGAGGATGAGATAACCTTGAGAGGGATCAACTTCGAACTGGAGCGTTGTCTAAACTTGGGACGGACCGTCGTGAACGAAAAAAAGCTGCCCTGCCTTTGGAACAGGATCAGTTCTGAACTTACCGATCGGATGTAGAGAAATACCATGGATTACGGGCGAGAACTGGGCGTTCGGAAACTACCAGAACCCAAACTGTTTCTGTCATACAGCCTCTAGGAATGGTTGCACTAGGCGAGCATCCAAATGACACCAATCAGGGCAGGGCTTACAGGTTGAAGAATTGCAATGCACTATAGAGTCGTCAGCGAGTCTGGCGTAAATTTTGGGTAATAATAAGACTATGTACGTTAGAAATGCAACCTGCCGTGGGATGGGCAGCATAGTAGGTCGTTGAGAAGCGTTAGCATCAGAGTCCAGAAAGGGTTTCTCCAATACTTACTAGAAGCTTTGTCAACGGCGGATCATCAGCGTACGCTGAAAAGTATGTGGATACTTGGATCGTTGTTGCACCAAGCAGCCTGGGTGACAACGGTGGGATGGTGACAAGCTCTATTGGTGATTTGACTGTGCGTGCGGTGCTTCTTACGTTGCATTAAGGAACATTCCAGAGACATAGCCCCCAAATAAATTGTCTATAGGCGTCATGGGGCGGTGAGTTTAACTGAGCAGTCTAGGGCTGGGCTTCTGGGGGGTCCGGATGGTCGGTCATTCGCCATATGAAAGGCTAAAGCATGTATCGCAATCCTCACGTAGTTTTCCAGCGTCCTAGCTTTTGAAGACACCTTTCTAAGGAGAGGGTTAGAATGGTCTTGCTTGAATCGTGAAATAACGTGTGGGATATTACTTTGTGGAACAGTGCTCAGACTTGAGGGGAGGATCTTCAAGAGGCGTAGATTTCTGGAAGAATCACCCATTCCATCTATACTTATCGATATCAGACCCGTAATTCCGGGGCAATGGTCTCGATTGATTGGCGGTCAGGGACAGACCGCAATGCATCTGAGAGTCTATCCAAGATGAACCGGAAATCCACATGGGGTTACGTAGAATATATTCAAACAACTGGCCGGCGGCCGGCGGCTCTGAAGGTCACAGTCACTTCCCCGCCACTTCATAGCGGGTCCTACAAATATTCCATCCTGGCAACGTTCGGTAGGTGGAGTGTCCATTATTAAACTGGACGTACGGGCACTGTTGTGGACGCCCCCAAGCACAAGGTCCTCTACCACTCGAACTGAGATACCTTCCACGATTTGGCTTACTACGATACCTTTTGGGCCCTGCTTACTGTACGTTCTTCCATCAATAGTATCCCTCCAAGAACGGAAGCACCATTTTGGCCTAAAATCAGGAACAAGTGGCCGGGGTTTGCTGCAATAGGCAAACTGCTACCACCGAAGAGGTACACAAACTTATTGCAGTATGTAATTCGATTGTACGTAGTGCGAAATTGAAGGGAGCATTAGTCGCATAATCGTTGTCGGGGACATGGTTTTGCCCCATCGGCAATCTGACCGACCGCATGACAAGGTTGTTTGGACGGTGCTATACCCGTCCCCCTGAACTGTGCTGGGTGGCCCTCACCCTCTCTTACCTTGTTAATTCTTACCTGGAAATGTTGTCACTATATATCCATGACACCCTGCACCAACGATACGCGCGGTGTAAATCCAATTCAGGTACACCACCATGGTGCCAAAAGATGCACATGAAATGCCTTGTGCCCAATGTTCCAAGATCTGACCTGCTCTATTCCTAACCAAGCGGCATAGTAGGAATGAGAGAACTTTCGTTGATTGGGGATGACGACTGTCATGGCGATCGTCAGGGCTTGATCCGTTGTTGAAATGATATGTTACACGGTTATTGTGAGTGTATGATGCTGATGATCTTCACGGACACTCCTAACCATATTGCAGATTCCTTATTTGCTGCGTGGTGTAAGCAAATCGCTTGCATAAGCTCTGATCTTGTGCGCACTTACATCAGTGTCGTATCACATCCAATCACGCACATTCTCCCGCCGGATCCATATCAGGCGTATCAATAACCCGTATACGACTGAGGGGAGGGGAAAAAGGACTACAGCCATTCTGCATCATATTCGTTGCAAGCTGTCTCCTATCCGCCGTCACAAGGACACTCGGCTTCTTGGGATACCCGTGACCGTTTGAAAGCTCCTTCGTGAGGATCAACTCTCAGAAACGTTGGACAGCTTCGGAATAATCTCGCACGGTCAAGGTATTATAATTGTCTGGAGGCGAGGAAATCGCATCAGAGCTCTGTACCCCTTGGTTTGTCAAGGTCCCCCGCGTGGATGAGAAGATGGAACGCTTACCTCCTCACGGGAAAGTTAACCTCATTGCCTCCCATTTCACCCCATTTCAACACGGGGATCGTATCATTCATTCCAATGAGATATGACCTCTTGCAACACTTAGCTCAATACAGCGGAGATTAGGCAGAGGCCTCCGTGTTTCAAAGAGACCTGCAGGCTCCCGGTCTGTCGAAATGAACACTGTTTTCCGAGGCCGACTAGGAGGCATTGTAACCGGCGCTCTCACTCGTTGAGGAAAATTCGGGAGAGTCTCAAATGGGTGCTTATCGTGTTATGAGCCTTCAAGAAGAGGGAAAAAGATATCGGGGTCGCATTAAACATTTCGAAAACGGAGGACGCGCAGCTTCTCTTCCAGCGTGCTCGTGAAAAGAGGCCAACAAAAGGTTGAGGCTACCAGTTGTGTGGTTCGGTCCACTCGAGCGGTATCCCGAGTTCTAAATGCCTATCAACAGTTCGAAAGGAAACAGACTGTCTGATGTTCGATATCCGGATATTGTCCCAAGAGGAATTCCTTCAGCCTCTCTATATATAACATTCTTCGTAACCAAGTAGTCGACTCAAGAGCTAGCACAATAGCTCTGACAATTCCACCGATGGAGGGAGCGAAGAAACCTGCAATGTCCGAGGGGAGACCCTACGTGTCTAAACACGGTAGCCTCATTAGGACTTGAAGAGCCAGAGGCACTAGCCAAGTGAAAAACGCAAGATTCGACATATTCTCCAGGGCGGCGGCGGCAACTCCTCACAATATCTCTTCCTCGCCAGTAGTCCAAAAGTGGTTCTGGACGCAAGCCAGGAAGGGAAGGGGACATTGGAATATGGATCGAGAAGGAACACATATCAGAATAGTTGTGCCTCGCCAATATGGCTTATATTTTGTGGAAGACGACAAGAAGACGGGTGTTCCTAGCCAGGGTTTTCACCTTCTGGGTAGTGAGTCATGCGGAATGACAAGTTGGTAGAAGCACATAATCAAGAACTTGTTTTGTTCAATTCCCAAGCTATCCCAGAAATTTTTGTGCGATTTTTTGTGTATCTAGCTCAGCGCTTTGGCAAGAATGAGAGATTTTGTGGTCGATGAGGACAGTCTGTGGCATGGGTGTGCCGTGGCAATCCTTCGGACTCGGCGCGCGCGATATCCATTTGTCGTATGGGACTGAATCGAAATAACACACCGCTCTTAAGCAGTACAGTTAGTGTGTGATGTTGAAGACAAGTGTACTCCCAGCCATATCACCCGCAGAGTCAGTGGGACTGAAAAGATATTGCTCCTTCCAACAGCAACGGGCGGAATAATAATATGCTGAGCAGAGGTACCCAGCATGCACAGCTTTAACAGGAATAGACGTACTACTCCAATCTGATTGGAAGGAGGCTGAAGTCCTGCGTACATTGCTTTTCTGCTACATACTGCTACATACGTGGGAACTTCATCAGTCTCAACACATGACTCAGACAACACAAATTCTTTGAAATCTACGACCCACCTTGCCTCATCGTTTGCGTCACGACCGGCGACGTACGTATTTCGACTTATCGCTGAACGAGTTCGTTGTCGTTTCTCCAACATCATCTGAGGTCGTGACATTATTATTAGCTTATAATATGGCAGCGAAGGCGAAGGCCCGGTAAAGTTCCCACAATACTTTTCATGCAGATTTTAATACTGAAGTGATACCTTGTCTCTCCCCTTGTTTCTCAATCCTGCTATATTTAAGGATGGTATTAATACGGCTGGTCTCCACCGCGCGTACGGGGTATACCTACACCACACAAAAGAATAGGAAATATCCTACGTTCAGTATCAAGAAATACGATCCCATGAGTATGTGTTAACTTCTTATACATACCATCCACACCCTTTTCTATTTTGAACTGACTATAATAACGTTATGCAGTAAAGCGTCATGTCTTGTTTGTTGAGCAGAAAATGAAATAGGACGTTTATCCTTTTTTTCGCAGTACTTTTCGTTCCCACTTTATTGTTTGTGCTTCCGGCGTACGATTATCACCTTCCTCGGTCTACTGTATATCGCAAAATATATACTACAAGCTGAAGCTAACCCGGTGTTCATTGCGCACTCATGCACTTCAAGATGAGAGAAGTGCTCGACCACGCAAAGTCCTTCCGCGGGAAGAATCAAGCAGTACTGAGGCAAATTATCAATGGTAGAAAATTAAAACGTACACTAGCAAACCAAACGAAAAATGATATGACAGGAATCAGGCACATAATTATTTGGTTTTTTTTTTTTACTCTTCGTCCTCACTTGCACTTCCTCCTGAATCCGCCTTGTCGTCTTCGTTGTTACCGCTACTAGAGTCAGAAGCGTCATGATTCCCTATCCGGGAATAACCTTTTTCTTCGCTCCACCACCCAACGGGCATAACTTTGAACTCGACCATCTGAATTCCAACGAGTTTGAGGAGCTGTGCCTGTTCTGCTGTGAGAACATCTCCCTTCTGAAAAATCATACGGCGCAATCGAGGGGGAATGATCAGATGAGGCAGCATTTGCCAAGAGTTAACTGAGAGCGTACCTTGCAAATGACGTGCTCGTAGTCTAAGCTTGGTACCCCACGTTTCATGACTGTCGTCAGTCCGAGTTTTCTAAATTGAGGTTCCATAGATGAAGGGAACGTTGCCGTATCGTCACCGTGTATTGTGATTGGACCTGAGACATTGATTGGGGAGGCAAGAAAAAGTGGTACGTCGAGAAATGAAGTAGGCAAGATCATTTGATCCCTTCGTGCGCACAAGTATCATAGATAAATATGGCTTACCGACTGGAAGTGTTATGGTATCTTTGGCCGTGTTCCCTGACCGTGCAAAATCTGGCTTTGCAAAGTGGTCGAACCAAGCTTCGACTTCATCGGGTGGGTAATCAGTGAAGAAAAGGCCGTCTCCGCCTTGTAGATGCTAAATGGATTCACAAGAACATCAGTCATCGTAGGTGTTATTGATGAGAGTAAAAATAGGGTGCCTATGGCATACTCACTTTTGATACAGCATGAATCCCATCGCGACATTCGTTATCTTCCGACGTCCCGAGTGCTACAGCCATGACACGGATCCGTCCAAAGAACAATCTTGCAGTTCTATGATTTCCAACCACCAGGAAAGTTGGTAACGCAGACCCAGCAAAAAATGGGGCAAGCATAGGCGTACCCCTTCCATTTCTCCCTCACGATTTTTAGTGCCGAGTTTCTTATGTTCCCGACACGCAACACATAGACGTATTTCCACTTTGCCACATGTTCTCGAACCTAAAATTGTTACCCGACCCATAAATATATCATTCCGTCAGCGTTGCCAACACGTGAAAAAAAAAGAGTACAGCGTTACGGCGGTACTAGTGAGATGTTCTCACATCAGCAACGAAATTCTCTTTATGCGCTTTGGTTATCTTCTTCTCTGTCTTCGTGAGACTCACTAAGCCAAAGACGTGCAGTGAAAAAAAGATTTCAACGGTTGAAGGCGCGAGTCCCTTACCGAGCTTCGGACGTCTTGCGCGAGGCATCTAAGTAGACAAGCAGGGCCACGAGGGGGGGAGGTTCTGGGAAAGGGTGTGGAGCGTGTCGATTAATTATGAGCAAGGTGGGAAGTCCGTAGAGGTTCTCAGAAAGCCGAAAGGTTAAACGTCTCCAGCAAGTCTAGTGAAGCGAAATCTATCTGACTTCAATTTTTCCTCGGCACGGAAATTTTTGGAGATCACATGTCCATATGTGCACAGCCGCTACACCACCTTTGCTTTAATTCAAATTGATTCAATTGCCCGTTAGCACTTTAGATAGATCCTTTGACAGTTCTCGTTCGCGGAGATCGATCGGTCTCTTACTTCCACGTAAGGTACAAGAGAAGCCGGTACTAATTAGTGAAGCCGATCGATTCCTTTACATCCGATCATTTACGTTTCCGGAGGTCAGCATGACAGATTCCGATTCAGCAAAATTCAACGTTGTAACAGAGGAGCATCTTCGAGTGTTAGGGGATAGGCTCATAAATGCTTCCGGGGAATGCTCACTCTCATCCTCATATCGAACACTCTTCACGCTAAAATCTCTATGTCAACGCGCAATAGCGGCAGCCAACTCTCACTCCATATCCACTAGCCCAAGATCAACAACGTCGCTCCTCAACAACGGCACGTCCAATTCCGAATCGCCATCCACCCAAACACCAATAATAAGTCTCCCACCGAATGCTGAGCAAGTGATAATATCGCTCCTCGGAAAGGCGCTCCACGCGCCGACGGTCCGTTCTCTCCTTCGACACGAACTTGCCTATGTCCTAGGTCAAATCGGCTCACCGGTAGCCATCCCAATCCTAGAAGAAGTACTCAGTGATGTTGAGGGGCAGGAGGAGATGGTCAGGCATGAATCTGCTGAGGCTTTGGCTGCGTTGGACAGTAAAGGGAGTGTGGAGATTCTTAGACGGTTTGTCGATGAGGGAGGGAAAGGGGAGAAAGGGAAGGTGGTTAGGGAGACTTGTCAGATTGCATTGAGGAAGATTGAGTGGAATGAGAGCGAAGAGGGGAAGGATAATGGGGCTATCGATAGGTGCCGTCATTTTTCCTTTATCCGATTTCGTGAGCTTATACTCTTCGAATGGGTTTTTCACATTGGTCGACCAGGAAGTTCACGTCCATTGACCCTGCACCCCCTTTCACCACACCTTCCACGTCCACAGAAATCGATTCACTAAAGAGGACGCTCCTAGATGTTACCCACTCTTTATTCGATCGTTACAGAGCTATGTTCTCCCTGCGAAACATCGGTACGCCAGAGGCGATTGATGCTCTGTCAGCAGGGTTCTTGGATGACAACGCTCTATTCAAGTAAGGCCACTTTCTCTCATCTTCGCAACAAGATTGGCTTTTCCTCACGCGCTTGAATGTTTCTCTCTCTCTCTCTCCTATCCTATGTCAAGACACGAAATAGCATTCATCATGGGTCAGTTGTCACACCCCCATTCGATCCCCGCTCTTGTCAAAGTTCTCGAACGGCCCGATGAATCGCCGATGGTCAGACACGAAGCGGCTGAAGCCCTCGGGGGTATTGCTGAAGAGGAAGGATCGAGTGGGCAGGGCACTTTGAGGATATTAAGAGAATGGAGGGATAAACCTGAGGCTCCGGAGGTGGTTAGGGAGAGCTGTATCGTGGCGGTTGATATGTGGGAGGTGCGTGCCCTTTGAGATTTCCGATCATTTGATGTCTGGATTTTGTGATACTGATTGATCGTTCTGGTCTGCTAGTATGAGAACAGCAAGGAATTCGAGTATGCCAATGGATTGTTGTAGATGCTGTTAACATGGGAACAAGCCGTGCGTAAAGGAAGAAATTGGCCAATTGGCGTACAGATTATGATTCTGCCAGGTTGCGACGCGACTCCTTTGTGATCGATTGCAGAGTGAATCACCGGGTCCATAGGCTTTCTCGTGTCATTGACGCATCTGCATGCTTTGGCCTTGGATGCTTGCTTTTCGATGCACAAATTGAGCTCAACCCAAATGAAGATCCCATTTTATGTTGGCCTGATTACCCGAGTACTGTGTTGTCACCTGTACATCTAATCATTTGCGCGAGGCTCTGGGTCATGTAACGGCCGCGGTTGCGAGGAAATAGGAAAACACCAGTTAGCTTAATGGCTGAGTCCGGCGCTTGCACTGCGACCCTTTGAGGTGTTATGGGTGGGCCCCGCGCGTCGCGTTGGCGGCGCGTAACCTTCCGTTACGGTTTTTTTTCCCGAGCATGCGACAAAAACGCATAGTTCGTGTGTGTCTTAAGAGATGAATTGATCATCATTTTGGGAACGGTCAATTTCCCTTCTTATGCTGGGAGTGACGACCTTCGCAACCTCGAATCCTGCCACTGCCTCTGAAGAAAGGATGTTGAAGGACAGCGTCGGTATCTGTCCCTAATTGAGGTCGAAGGATCATGGATGACTCCATCGCGGGATCGCGGGATCGTGGCAAGAGCAATGAATTATGCCTGGGATCAATAAGATCCGGGGGCTGGTACAATGTTCACACATTCTCGTGATGATGAAACTTTAATTCATTCAAGAACGGATGTTATTCCTCGCCTCCTTCCCCCCTTTCCTTCCTTCATCCTCGTTACAACTACCACTAGCACCAAGGCCCAGCTAGGCTCACGCGGAACCACTTGTTTGTCTTATTAGCCGCGCCTTCATCTACTGCTCAGCGATGTCGCACGTAGCCGCCGTGAGTGCCATGTGTTCCCCGGCTCACAGAATAACCGTCATGCTCAAACTCCCTCCAAAAAGCAAACCGCTAGTCCAACAGACGGGAAAAAGGCCAATGAAACTACCACTCCAAACGTTCTCCCTCCAATGAGCCAACAACAAACCTTCACGCTTCCCTCGTCGCCCTCCAGCCCACCTTCCTTCAAGTTACCTCCGGATCTGGATCTAACCAGACCGATTTCGCAACTATTGAGGGAGGGTACGGCAGATGTTCATACAGCTGTTGAGGATTCCGAAGGTGCACAATTACTTACAAAGGGTCAACTTGGCAATCGGGAATATACGAGGGTTTTGTTTATGCTTTGGCATATTTACGAGTGAGTTGTGGCTCCTCCTGTCTCATTGTATTTTCTATCGGAGGGTTGGATAGGAGATAGGGGGCACCTGTGTTTTGGATTCGTACTGACTATTATTTATTTTCTTGACGCCATGACGCCAATTATATGCTCGCAAACCAACTGTGATGTCTACGCCGCACCTGACCGACCGGCAGTGAACTGGAACGAGGACTGTACGAACATCGTGAACATCCGGTCCTATACCATATCTACCACCCACGAGTCTTCTCTCGCGCATCAGCTCTCTCCTTCGACATATGTCATCATCTCGGAACCGTGACATGGCAAACCGATCCTTTCTACGTCTCCTTCTACAACAACATTCCCAAACCCGTTCAAGCTTACATCGATCGTCTTTCCTATCTGGGTCGTTCTGAAGCTACGAGCGAAGAGGTATCCTGTCTTGCAGCGCATGCGTACGTACGGTATTTAGGGGACTTGAGTGGAGGGCAGATGATCAGGAGGAAGCTCATCAAGTCGTATGGATTGTATGAGGATGGTGAAGGGAGTGCGTTTTATAATTTTAGGACGTTGGATTATAGGACGGGCGATCGGCCTGCGGAGATGCATGAGATTAGAAAGATTAAGGCTTGGTTCAAGGAAGGGCTTGATGAGGCTGTCACAGATCCTAAGCTAAAAGGTGTGTTGTTTGTTTGTTTTTTTGCTTCTGTAGCCACCCCTCTCCCATCTCTTTCCTTTCCCTTCCAAAACGGAACTTGTCCATTTCATTTCTACTATTTTCACATGGTAACCAATTCACCGTATTTCACTTTATTGGTCCTACCCACTTCCATCCCATCCCCATCGTGTATCGGATCGTCCGCTATCATCAACACGATACTGACGAGCGCGCCACTTTTCACCACCTCACACAGAACTCGTCATCGCAGAAGCACATGCTGCTTTCCTTTACAATGGGGGTCTGTTCTCCTGCATAGACACCACGCAAACGCTAGAGAAAGAGAATGAATTAAAGGCTCAATCTGCTTCGGCGTACCCAGGCGCTCATATCACTCAGACGTTGCTTAGAGCCGGGAATGGTGGCGGGGTGATGAGTAGTGTGGGGGCGTTTGCTGCGTTGGTGGTGTTAGCTGCATGTGGGGCCCATTTGGTGCTGACGATGGGTGGGGTGACGGGTGAGGGTGGGAAGAAAGGGTTGGAGGGTGTTTATGGGTGGTTGGTTTCGGGTTCTGCTAGGGCAAACGGAAGTGGCCAGGAGCAGGCGGGCGTTGTGTAGGATCGGCCAGATGGGTCTGCTCGTCATTGATAGCCACGAGTTCGCTGCAATCAGGTCCTTCCCATTCCATTCTAACATTTGCTTAATTGACTGGACGGTCACTTCCATACAGGAAATTCATTCTTCTTGGTTCCATGGTTTACATTTCGCAAATTTTGTATACTACCTGCCTAACGTGTTTCCTCTCCGTGTAAGGGGGGAATTCAATGTCAAGAACTCATATTGTCTGAGTGGAAGATGACTCGGAAGGGTTTGTGGGTGTGGGGTATCAGTCATCATCGAAGAAGTGTTTGGTTTCCTCTGCTGCCCTTGCAGGCCCAGCATCGAACGCTTCTGGATACTATCCCATTGGAATGTTGCTCCTTTGATGACAGTGTTGCCAATTGAGTGTCCTGTTACTCTGTAATATCACATGCAGTGTCTTCCTTCTCCTGGCCAATGTGCCTACTCATCGCGAGCTATCGGATGCGCATGTGGAGGTTTCCAGGTGCATGCATGAAGTCATAGGATTGGGCTGGTGGTGATGATGACGGGTTATATTATGTAAGTTGTCGGGATCTTCGAAACGTCGTCGCACCCCAGCTGCACCAGCACTTGTTGGCCGTCGGAGTTTTTTTTATTTGCATTCGTTTGTGCAGGGAATGCGGCAGGAGTTTTGATACCCACTTGTGGATTGATTGGAACATCGCAAACTCGTGCTTACGGAGCTCACAGTTTTAGCTACAAAAGTTAATGTGATTTTGTGGGATCGGGCTACTGTACTCACACGACCAACTACCAGTTGCATCCGGAGCGTGACAAAAAGTACTGAACCGGCAGCTCATGTTGATGCGTGACACCCAACCGGCGAACTTACCATAAAAGGAATGCAATACTATCGGGTATTGCCATAATAAGTAACTAAATGCAAAAGAATTTGAAAATGTGCTTAGAGCGCCTTTCTGAAAAATTTCCTGCACCCGGATATCACATATGGATGGTTTTGCACTTGCACAACAAATTTGTTCTTGCACAAATGAACCTATTTCATACAGAAATAATATCCCAAGCCACCAGGTAGTTTTTACCCATAGTAGGCCTATTGGGCCTGGATCCTGGCTGATTAGGCTGCAATGGCACCTTACAAGTTGCATCAACCTGTGCTGAGGATACCCCCCTCAAGCCCACAGAAGTGTGACTTTGGCCGCAGAAAGCGGGCCAGACAGGTGCGCCATTTGGACAAGGAAATGGTCATTTTTTGAATGTATTTACTTCCGAAAAAGGGAAATTTGAATTACAGTTTGCACAGCCACCCCGAAACCAGGTTTACAGCATGACACAACTAACTCAACCTTTTTCCCAGCGTGACACGTGACAAAACCTTGATTTGGGCCGGACCTCGAGGCCAGCATGACGCGTGACAGGTTGTTGGTCATGTTAGTACAGTATGTTATGTAAGCTGGATGACAACCTCGGGATCAACCATGTCGGGATCTACCTCATATGGACAAACCATTGACTACTTATGGGCAGACATCAGGATGCCTCTGAAAGGAAGCCTAACACTGTTCAATGTATATGTGACATTATTGAGGGCACAAGGCTGATCAAATGTACAAATTGCTGCAAGACTTCAAAGACAGCCTCTTCATGACCACACCATGTGAGGTGTTAGAACAAGAAGATGAACAATTAATGAATCTCAATAGAGAAACTAAGCAAGAACACAAGGACAAAGAGGACAGAGGATGGATGTTGTCCCACATTTTTCAGATTTTATTTTATATGGAACACCTTGGTTTTATTTTTGGATGTTTTTACTTCATGTTGTTCCATGTTGCCATGAATTTTTCGAATTTTACCTTGGAACCTTTGCACATGTTTGGAATCTCTGGATTCTAATATCAATTCAATTCATATTTATCTATGTATTTATTGTACATTCTAATAGGAAAAGCATACCAAAAAAATGACTAATACCAAAGTATTGCTGCTACTATTGAAATTTATGGTCCACACCAATTAATGAAAACAATAAAAAATTACTAATACAGTGTGTCATATCCATACATACCCAATCCTGATTTGACTCCTGGACCCCCTTTCCACCACCTCCAGAGTCCTACCCTACTCCCATCCACTCTGATCCCCACCTTTGGATCTGACTGTCAGGGGACGTCCGGCTATCCAGCCCCCCTTTACTCTAAGCAATATCAATGATGTAATCATTAGCCAAGATTGTGTGAGATAATTACGTAGTTAGAATGCAGATATAACTCATTGTGCTATATTCGCTATCACGTCACCTGTCATATCCATACAATCCCGACCTCCGCTCCGGGCTCCTGGAACTCTGAACTCCGACTTCCGGAGCCCTACTTCCCTTCCATCACTTTCTCCTTGCCGACTCCCAAGAGGTTATCCCACCTCCGGCTCAGACACCACCTTCGGTCTGACTCCGGAACATTCCGGGTCCGACCCCAACCTCGACACCTTCCAGACGAGTACACAAAACCTATGCTCCCGACTCCGGACCTCTGCTCCGGTATCCCATTCACGTCTCGTCTCCGGAACCTCCGGTCTTAGCTCCGACCTCGGACTTTGACCCCACCTCTGCTTATACCCATTGTATTGGTTAGCTCATTCCATTTAATTACCTTTGCCAATATTCCGGAGTTTAACCTCCGAGTTCGGACTTTCCGGACTTACTCCGGACCTTGCAACTATTGCATTGTCCATTTCAATTCCGCTATTCTCCCTCATTCCTATTTGGGCTGCTGCTTCCTTCTATTCAGTCAGCTAGCCATTCCCAACTCCCATCCTCCTTCCTTCCTCCTTGGGCCTTGGCCCTTCATTCCTCCTTTGGGAAACACCATTGAGTCAAACACTTGACCCTCGGTGTTGTTCCTCTTTCCATCTCCCTTTGTCTCCTTTTGCCCTACCCTTGTTCCTTTTGATTCCGGACCCCTCCTTATATACAATGTACCTAGTAACTTGTAACCTCAGTCCGAAATCGACATGAATTCCCCCAAGAGACTTTCCCTCTGCTAGATCCGAAATTAGGGACCCCTAGGACAACCAGCAATGGCACAGCACTCCACCTGAGTCGCTGAGGCTGAGGTCCTTCCATGCTAAGTCTCCGATTCCACTCCGGAGTCGTCCGAATCCGCACGTTCTAACATCACCCCTTACCCAATATTCCCTCATTTCCCACATCATCTATCTTCCTATCTGATGTCGTGTTTCTATCGGTTACCATCTATTCCCAATGTAACCACGCTCTCGTGAGTTAGCAGAACTCATGTATATAAGGCTACTATGCCAGCTGGGCTAGCTCCCCAGCTTTGATATCGATTAGTTTCCCAGGGATATCCTTACGCCACGAATAGACGTGTGGACTCTGACACTGACCCCACCTTCCTCTCCTCCTGACTCTCTCCCAACCAATCTCTGCCAAGGTATGACCTCCCACTCCCATCCCATACCCTGAACCCAGACACTGATCGTACCTCCACCCTGAGATCCCATCCTGGTCCTGACCTTGGACTTTGACTCCACTCTGGCTTAAGTCCATTGCATTGGTGACCTCATTTCATGTAAATGCCATTGCCAATATTCCTTGGACTTCCAATCCCACCTCCATAAGCTCCACTACCTCCTGTCAGAGACCAGATCGAGATGAGGGATTGTCTCCATGGCGGAGGGCTTTGGCCTCAGCAACTCAAGCCAGGAGTGCTGTGCCAAGTTACACATCTGTGCCCTAATTTACTTATTGGCAACAAGAACTAAAAGGGGGTCAACTCTAGTCGATTTTATTACTGAAGTGTAACCTATGTACAAGTTGAGTATATATATAGTTACAGCGAGGGCGGGCCTGTAAATGGCAGGGCCGAGCGGAGTGGAGCTAACAGAGTTAAACATTAGCCGATTGAATATTACTGACAAGTTGGGTTATGGGGTTAGCGGAATGGTAGGCGATAACCCAGAAATGGAAAGGAGGGATAGGCCCAAAGGTGGGCTTGCAGGGCAAGTGAGTGAATTGCCCAGTGGAGGCAGGAGTGCGCTAGCGGACGTCGGAGCTGTCCGGAAGCCTTCAGGGCTCCGTACTTAGGGAGGCATAGGTAATATATTGAAAAGAGGGGGTGGTGACCATTGAGGGAAGTGGAGGTGATTGTGGAATATGGGAGCTCCGAGGTTAGTGAAGAAGGAGTGGAGGTAGTCTGGAGAGATCAGAGGTAGTGGAAGTTGATGGCTGTGGATGGATATGACACCTCTGAGTTTTGTGGACCTCCCTTGGCACTTTCTCCATTTGTAGTCTATACTTTGCATTTCTCCCTCACCCTTATTTGGACTACTTGTCAGAGACTGGATTTAGGATGAATCTATGTTTGGAGGGCTATGGCCTCAGCGACTCTACCAGGAGTGCCGTGCTGTCAGGGGATGGACCCCGGGTCCCCATGACCCCTCTCTCTATAACCCAGAGCCTGACCTGTAACAGCCCATCTCAGGGCACAATGCTACTGTGGGTAAGAAAGCGAGAAGAAGGTTAACTTCTCACTTTCCCACAGTGGCCCAATATGGCGAAAACTTCCGGGGATACCCGGAAGTCACATGAGAAGTGGGAACCGGGCCCGGAGCATGCAGCGCGTGGAGCATGTGGGGCAGAGCATGCATGCGGGTCCGGATGCGGGTCCGGGTCTGGGCTAGTCAGGGTGTGTGCCCTGACACGTGCCCAGTATCACATTGGTGCCCTAATTTATGGACTGAGGAGTCTTCTAGAAGAGGGGGGTTAACTCTAGTCAATTTGTTCAC